TTGTGACGGGGTAGGTTGTTACAGCTTTCTACTTATAATTTCAACTCCGTCGATGTAACACATAACCTCGGCATAACATAGTGGCAGATAGTTTAATCTTATGTACGATTTTACCGTTAACGTCTCTTATTACATTTTTAAGCATTTGTATGGGTAACCTTTGTAAGAAAAAACCAAGTCGATATCTTATCGGGCCTAAGAGATATCGAGGAAACCGTGAAAATACATTTCACCCCTGTAGGGGTCGAAGGGATTTTCTAAAAATTCCTTCTTAGTGGGTGCTTACGTCATGGAAGAAATATACTCTTCGAATTTCATGTTTCTAGGTTGAGGAGTTTGGACTGAACATTGATGAGTCAATCAGTCAGTCAGTCAGTCAGTCAGGCCATATATATATATATATATATATAAGGCGATTATATTTGTAATAACTAGCCTTATGTGAAGTAAGTTATCACAGTAATAGATTAAGTTATAAAAGATCTAATTTTCAAAGTATAATACCCATATTATATATATATATATATATATATATATATATATATATATAATAACATATTATACACGATTTAAATATGGACCAAATTATGCAACGTTATATAAGCTCTTAATTCGAATAACGAAACTGAAAGATATACATTAAATAAGTTAATTAAATAGTATACTTTAACGCGACTAGAATATGACTTCATTTCTTCTCTCTGTCATATTATTACAGATTATTATTACATTAGTAAACTAAGGATAAAGTCTCTTTCGATTCTGATACTCTCGAAGGATCGATTAGGTCGGATTCGAATGACATTAAAGTACAATTCCCCATCGTTGTACGCTTCTTCCACTTATACTCTCAAAGGAATAAAAACGAATCATAGTTAATTGAATTAACATAGCGATAGCCGGTGTTTTATTAGCAGAAAAGTCGTTCAGGATATTTTTACAATTTAAAGGAAAGATAACTATATAATTATTTATAACAATATATAGCTGCTCATGCATAGAACTTATTTTAACATTCAATATCGACCGCGTTTTATAATTCTCAAGAATATTTTTATTTTAACTTTTGAAATATCCAATAATATCTTTAATTCAATCCGTATTTTTTCTACAATTTTTCTATTTACGAAGCTATCGTGAAGAAAGGTAGATCGTATCCCGTTCCATTTCAATTCTTCCTTACGTATTTTTTATCAATATCTAGCAATTGCATCGACGAATTTACCTAGCTGTTAATTTACCTTCACGATCGCGAGGTTGGGAAGGGGCTGTTCTCGATATTTGCCCACTCGATCTCGAGCCTTTGTAAGTCGCGCTGAAAGTCGAGAATGAAGGTACCAAAGAACTGCTTGCCTTTACCCCGCCAGAAGAGGCAGGAATAAGGGGCTTCGAACACGCTTGAGGAGACGGAAGAGCCATACCGGTCCCGAGGAACTTTAAGGAACAATCGCGCACTGTATATCGCAATTTTTATTTCAGTCGCTCTATTCTCTCTTGCACAACGTACTCGATAGCTCCAAGTTTATTACGTTCTTAGATTAGATTAGGTTCTTACAATTTCTGTATTTCAAAGCGTTTATGAAATGAAAACAGTGCAGCTCAGAACTGCTCTTGTAATCTACACCCTAGATAAAATACCATCGAAACATTTGTGTTTTTACTGTTTTTATTGTTCTCCTGGTTATCAATCTAATTATCGACAAATTGATTTCTTAACACTCTTCTAAACAAGTAATTGAACGTTATCATATCTATCTATCCGACCGAAAAGTCCATGTTCTCGGTTGGTTAGAGAGGATCGATGAAAAAGATTGACGGAAATTCTTGTCCCTGCGGCTTTGTGCTGCGCCCCGTAAATCGAGGAAGATACCGGAAGTGGCCTAAAAAGATAGTACCCGATTTCTTTCGTATACGATTCGAACAACTTTCAGAAACGTTCTTGCCATCTCCCCTTCTTCCCTCTGTCTATCTATCTCTCTCTCTCTCTCTTCCCCTCTTTCTCATTGTCTGTTCTCTTTAGTCGCGCAACTCCCTTGTTTCTCGGTAATTAAACGGGGGTCGATGTCAATTAAATTATCCCCGCTGCGTTTCACACGTGATGTGACGGTTCCCCGACAATGAGAGATACACCACTGCCATAATCGATATAGTTGCTCGACTATTCATCAGTCATAAATGTCACAGTGTAGTTGTGCAATAGTTGCCCTAAAATTGATACATTGCGACTATTAGCATTTTAATTATTTAGTTATGATTCATAATATGTAGAATATGTTTCAAGACTCGTAGAATTAATATATATACTCCGTGCGCCAATAAAAGAAACAAATTTATAATTTTTATCTGAAGATATTACAGAAGAGATAACGAGCTCGCTATCGATAATCACTTCTACCTTATCATATGCATTAACGAAACATAAGGAAATATCGCAAGATTTCAATTCAAGTTTTTTCAAGTTAACACGTTTTAACCGTATTATTCCTCCGCTGATAACAGTCATAATAACGTTTAAAATGACGATTCACCATCTCGGATGGATGCCCTCAACGCCGTTTAGCGCTTCGTCTCTTTCGCCTCGTTTACATTTTGCCAGTGGAAAGTATTTCTTCCCATTTTGCAGTCGGACAGCATTTTCTCTCGCCGAAATGGTGGTAACAATTAACGAAATACCTCGGAATCGGCATGACCGTTGAATTTAATCGCGACATTATCGTTACGGTTTTAATGACCGAAGGCGTCGTTTAACTCGCTCTTAAAGATCTGTTAAAACGACTCGCGTTTAGTGCGTTTTTTTTCCGCCCGGAAACGAATTATCTTTCTGTCGAAGCTGATACGAGAGACGAGTCTCGCGAAAATAAGTTCATATAAAATATTGAATTTTTTCATGCGGAAGGAAAACCGTACGTTGAAAAGTTAAAATGCGTATCCTCCCAAGCCTTCTCCCAATACTCGACTTTTTCATTTTCAACCCTCATTTCCATTTCGAGCGATAGAGAAAGAGAAGCGTATTCCACCGTTTCGCATTCGATATTTACTGCCGGCCGCGAGACGCTAGCGCAATTTTAAAGAAGCCCCTTTAAGGGCCCTCCTTCGCGCGCCCAAAGCGAGCACCGGCGCGGCGGTTTACCGGGGACTATTTTCAACCCTCCGGGTTCGACAATTCGCATCCCGATGAAAACGTTTGCTGACTAAACGAGCTGCCGCGATTCCGAAGGCGAGCACGAAAAAAGCGGAATGAAGGAACGAATGCGAATGAACGAAAGAATGAATCTTCCGTGTCGCACACCATCGTGTGTTTTTTTTAAATGTCTTTTCACAATTTTTTTTTCCATGCACGTTGCCTCACCATTTATGCGAGTTCGCGTTTACACGGCATCAAGTATGCATAGAGGCAGGAAGCATGGCTCGGCGATAATTTGCGAGCGCGTATTGAAAAGAACGTGATCCGACAGAATTATCGTAATTTCGATTTACGTTTACATGCAGGATGATTCTGGGTTCGGAAAATCAATGCTCTTATACGTATAATGCACATACATATACACACATAGAAGTTATATTTATATAATTGATAATATATATATTGGATTAAATTGTATATTAATTACAAGTATGTGTGTGTCTTTCTACTTTACGTAAAAAATGTACATTTGTGCAATGACCGTAATTAAACTTAAGTAACAAATAGGGATGTGCGATTTTGCGATATATCACTAGCATCATTTTATATCGCAAACACTATTTTAAATTTCCTCTGTTATATAATTTTAAATTTCATGATTTAAAACAATCAAAATGTATAATAAAAAATTTTCAAAAATCGTAAAATTAAAAATTACCTAATATAACGGGGGAAATTTAAAATAGTGTTTGCGATATAAAATAATGTGATTCAAAATTGCGTTTGTGATACAAAATGTTGCACAATTCAAAATATAAGATATATAAAAATAGAAATGCAATATATATCGCATTCACTGTGATTCTTAAGGGAGATCGCAATTTTGAAAATCGCACTTTCTAATAGTAATAAATTACAAATAGATAGAAAGACTTAGTCTGTCGATAATACAAATTATATACAACACGTGATATTACGTAAACTGTCGAGTGGCGCGTCAAGATCGTATCCGCGCGGTTTGCGTTTTTCAATGCCGCTCCCGACAGCGATTTTAAAGACACAGGGGGAAAAAAAATTGCAACTCACGCGGCGACTACGACGACGAGGGTCAGTTGATATTGGATTCGAAACGTACGAGATCGGCAATATCCTTCCAGGCCTCTTCCCTTCGCATTCCTCGACCTCGGAGAAAGGCTTCCTCTCACCGGGCATCTCCGGGATAAAGCCACGAGAGGAATGGAAGGTTTGCATGCCACGCTGCGCGAACGCGCTCGATATTCCGATATCCTGATATCGGGGAGTGTTTCTCCTCGCGACATCCTTGCCTCCTCTCCGGGATATACACCCTCTTCATGGAATTTATTATCCGCTCTCAACCTGCGTTCTGTGCACTTCCCCTCGCTCCCTCATCCCTCGCGGAAAACCCTCGGGAATCACCTTACTGAGGATTCGGCGGTTTCTATGCCCCGATGCGGTGGCTGTTTTTCCACGAGACTTTCTAGACGAGGGAAGTCCTGATCCAGCCGAGGATCTCTAATAGTCCTTTCGTTCGCGGGAGCAAAATCCCTCGAGAGCAAAATCCCGTAATCAATTGTCGTCGGTGCACCAAGCTGATAAAAATTTTACACGCAAAAACGGCTTTCTTGAAACAACTCGCGATTACGAGCGCTCTTGAGATCAAACATTTCAGATCGGTGAGTCAATGAGTTAATTTTTAATTTAGCAAAATTATTCAGGTCTGCGAGTTCGCGATCTTTGCTGAATTTTCCCGCGAATTATTCCCGGGCTCGAGCTTGTCTACTTGTAACCATTTATCACATCGTGATCCAAAGTGCACCGTAATTCATCGGCTCGTTCATCTTATTGTTGCAGAGATCCGCCTCTCGGTATTTCGCGAGCTGATGACCTCGCAGGCAGTCGTGCACTCACCTCCGCATCGACTCGATCGAAGCACCGCAGTCTCCCTTCGGCAACGCTGAAGGGTCAGCGCGCGTGGCAGTGGTGGGTCAGCGAAAAATGCGATAGAAACGGAGGGATACGACTACAAGAGAGAGAGAGAGAGGACGAGGAAGAAAACGAGGTGGGTTTGTACGACCGATGAGAGAGCACCATGTGCTCGATCGTACCGGTCTGGCGGCGGAGGGCTGCCCTCCTCGGCACGATGTTGCTGCTATTGTCCTGGGGAACAGACGCGGCGGAGGGCTGCCCGAGCATGTGCGCGTGCAAGTGGAAGGGCGGGAAGGAATGGGTCGAGTGCGCGAACCGCGGTCTCAAAGGATTGCCGCAGGGCGCCCGAGAGGAGACGCAGGTGCTCGACTTGTCGGGCAATCATCTGGTCAGCCTGCCGCCGGAATGCTTCCGCGCCCTTGGCTTGATCAACCTACAGCGACTCTATCTGGGCAAGTCTCAGATCAGTCGCATCGCCTCGGAGGCGTTCGTCGGCCTGGTCGGCCTAGTGGAGCTCGATCTGTCTGAGAACAAAATCGAGGAGGTGCCTACGGACACGTTCGCGTCCTATTCGAGTTTGATGAGGCTTATACTGAACGGGAATCCGATCAAGGAGATTCGCCAAGGCGCGTTTCTCCATCTGGCGCATCTGACCAACTTGGAGATCAGCAAATGCGCTATAGAGGTCGTCGAGCAGAACGCTTTCGAGGGCCTCCAGTCGTTGGAGTGGCTCCGGCTGGACGGCAATCGACTCACCTACGTGCCAGATCACACTCTGCCGCTCGGGGGAAATCTCAGAGGATTGACTCTTCACAATAACCCGTGGCAGTGCGACTGTAGATTGCGAATAATGCAGACCTGGCTGAAGGAGTCGGCGCCGGCGGCGCCACAGGAATCCGAACCCGTCTGCGATTCCCCGGCGAGGCTGCAAGGCAAGCAGATCAAGAGTCTTAAGGCCAACGAATTAGCCTGCCTGCCGCGTATCGATCTTCAAGATCACTTGGAGATCTACGAGGGCGGAAATGTCACTTTGAGATGCGACGTTCACGCGGTTCCGACCGCCAAAGTCACTTGGTGGTTCAACGGAGAACCGTGCGAGCTGCAGCACGAAAACAATTCCATGGCCGGCAGTATTTCTGCATTTCCGAGGTAAGCGAATTTCCAGCTCCTATTATAGGCCGGTATTCGTAGTCAGATTTTATATTTAAGATCGTCTCAAGTTTATCTTCAGACGCTGTAGAGAACTCGTTTTATTGGCTACGAAGTATCTAAAGATAAACTTAAGTCGATCTTATATATAAGATCTGACTATAAATATCGGTCATAGAGCTTCTACGAAACCTTGTCTACGTTTCTTTTGTTTCGAAACGCGTTTCTCTGCATCTATTCTAGGTGCATCTATCGACAACGAGGCGGGACCAACATGAGCAGCACGCTGTTCCTCTTCTCGGTCGAGTCGCTCGACGAGGGCATCTACAGCTGTATCGCGGAAAACAGCGCGGGTTCTGCAGTGGCGAATCTTTCTCTCCGCGTGCTCTTCCGCGAGAAACCCACCATGGAGCCACCTTCCGACAATCCTGGTTCCGGCTACTTGGTCGCGATTGTCGCGGGCGCGCTGGTAGGCACTCTTCTGGCACTGGGCTGTTTGGTGGGTAGCGTGATATACTGCGCGAAGAAGCGGCGTAGCGACCGAAAGCGCAATTCGAAAGCGTTGGTGACGCAGAGCAAATCGGTGCTGCCGATCACGAAAGACACCACCAGCAGCGCCTGCCGAAAGGGTAACGGTAGCCTGATCGGTGGTCTCGAACATCAGCAGATGGTCTCGTATACCGAGCGTGAGATCAATCGCGCGGCCACTTTGGAACGCCGGGAGCACACCAGGAACAATCACCTAGATCGGGATGCGTATTCAGTGGCAAGTCCGGTCGCCAAGTATCTGACCGAGCCTGATCTGATCAACGAGGTGCCTGAAAACACCGAGGTAGGCTACGGTCAGCTGTACGGACGGCATCATCAGCGTGCCGGCGGCATCGATCGGCAGGTCCTGGAGTACGACTCGGGCTATCCGCTGCAGCCCGATCTGCGACCGCCGCCGGTTCTGCCGCAGATGAGCTACCTGGATCAGGATGGCTACCCGCTCAATTTCGGCCTGCCCAAGATCACCTTCAGCACTGCCAGCACTCTGCCCAGGCTCCGGCAACGTATGTCGGAGCCAGGCTCGGCGGCCGCGCCGGCAGCCAGATACTCGCGCGAGGCGGAATTCCTCGCGAGATCACCGGGATACGATCCCATTTTACCGCGCACCGACGCCAGGTACACCGCCGAGGGTTATCCTTATCCGGTGCATCAGCATCAACACCAGCATCAACATCAGCATCAGCATCAACAGCAACAACAACAGTCACAACCGCAGACGATACAGCCACCCCCGCCGATTCAACCGGTCGAGCAACCGATTCAACAACAGCTGCCCATTCAGTCGCCAGTCTCGCCGGTCGCTGTTTTCCCGGAGGTACCCTTCATACCGTCACCTCCGGCGGCTTACAGAGGTGAAACCACCCCGCTGTCGCCGCGATCGCTCCTCGGCAAAACCGCTCGCGAGGCCGCGGCCGCGGCCGCCGCGAGGGCCGAGGAGATCCAACCGCCGAATCATCCAGAAAGTCCCGACGAGGGCTACGTGGGAGACGCCATGGACGTCTGAAAAATCCGAACCGAACGAGAGTTCGGGAATCGGATATAAGAAACGTGGGAAATACATCCTGGATCTACCGCGAATAAAATTAATACATCGTTTACTTTTTACGGGTTTACTCTCAGTTTTTATCTACTGAAAAAAAAAAGGATCGGATTGATCGATTTCTTTGCGGAAAACGTCGCAATTAAAATTTTTTAAAAATATACATAGAAGAAATTGTTTTAACGAGATTGTACAAACTTTCTTTAAAGTATACCAAGATATAGTTAACATTTGTTACTCGATTTTTGCTAAAAAGAATTTTATCTTAGAAGATTTAATTTTAAGAATTTACACATGTTGCACAAATATTTAAACATTTTTGTATTAAGTACTTCAATCATTTCGAATATAAGAAAATTAATTTGAGAACAGAAATGTTCATCGTTTTGATGCAAAAATTTTCATATGAGTCAAGAGGGAAGACCTGTCCTCATTCTTTTTGCTCAACATATTGACCCAGCAGACAGAATAACGTCATTTATATTTGCATACAAATTTTCGAGTAATTTTTATAATCTCCTCCCATTATGCGCGCCAAGGATGGAGACCTAAACGAATAACGAGATATCAGCATCAAGGAGGAAATCTGTCCTCGTCATGGAACCAGATTAATTCGCGGAGAATAACAGGGTCCAGGATGTGATTGGCGGAACAGGGCCACCCGAGACGGCACGAACAAAGGACTCGTCCTGGCGGCGGAGACGTAATAGATTAATCAGAAGGCATGTCTCGAATGTCGCTGCGGTGCGCAGTCCTCGTCAGAATCGGGGGAGAGACCGGCGGAGATATTCGCGCGGTGGAACGCGGTGGAAAGCGGTGGAAGGCAGCGGAACGCGGGTGATTCTTGCGCTCCGCGTATTCGAAGGAAATCGACTCCGAAAAATTTACGCGGGTCGCGTTTAAACGCGGAGAGTGCTTTTTCGGACACACCAAGATGGCGGGGCCGGATTTATTTAAACGGCGTGTCGCGCTTGTGAAATACGACGACGTCTTTTGGACGCGATCCAAGGAGAAACGTTCGGTCGCGTTGAAAAGGAACCAAGATGGCGTGACTGATCCTTAAAGTGATAGATAAATGTTTGGCGGACTCGATCGAGTGAAACGCGCCCCATGGACCCCGAAGGCGCGCTTTCAGCATCGCGAGCGAGAACGTGACTGGTGCTCAAAGCGGCCTCCTCCGATGGGGATCCGCTACGAAAATGTGAAATTAATTAAATTTAATTGTTCATGTTGATCCCTGAGACTGAGACGAAGTCTCCGCGATAAATCGATTGCGGAACGAGCGAGATGGATGTAAAATAGTAATAAAAGGAGACTGTTCCCTTTTAATCGTAAATATTATAAATATTTGACAAGTTTTATATATTATTTGCCACGTGTCTTCTACACACAATTTTCAAAAACTGTTTTGCAAAATTATTGTTATATTAAAAAATATATAACATATTTATTGCTGTTCCTTTTGAACGTATTATGATTGATATGATCTGGTCGCTTCAATTATTCTTAATGGCTCTTGGATTACTCTGATATTGTTTAAGATCGACAACAGCGTTATATAGCCCATGGCACATGGGGTGCTCGTGACTCGGAAATCTGCTCAAGCCTTTTTTGCATCTCTTTTCCTCCCTCGGCAGTATTCTGTTCTGGACTTATAGAATAAATGTCATTTATTTCTCTTGAGGACCCTCTCGATCCTGGCGTTTCAAGGCGGAGACGCAACTGTAGCGATTCTGCTGTAGTGATAATAATGTTAACTTGGTGTTTAAGATTGGCGAGATTAGGAGCGCCGCGATGGCGCTCGACCTGATGTACAGAGACCGTTGAGCATACAGGATGTTCTGAAAACGGTGTATACCAGAATCGGATCGGAGCGGGGAATTTCGAAAGCAAATTTACCTTCGAAAGAATTTAATCTTGGAAATCCTCTCTATACGAAAGTTAGGAAGAGATCAAGATTTAGTCGGATCAAGAAATCCGATATTGAATTTTATTTCTCGAAATGTTAAGAATTATGATTTACTTAAATAAGTTTCACTTTATTGCTTCGTCGTAGACTGTTTATTTTGCCGAAGAAGATTTCGCGAGTTAATTCCAGCTCCTCGGAATGGTATACGTCTCTTTTGGGACGCCCCGTATATCTATATATATATATACATACACGTATATATAAATATATATATACAAACACACAACACGCATAGATATATACATATTATATGGCGCGTACACTAAAAAAAACCACTAAGCGATGAAAAATCGGTGAAAGTAGTTATTTTTTAAAGGTGTCTTCGAGATTGCGATTCGAGCTGGCTTCGCCCTCTCAAGTAATCAGTCGATCTCTGCAGTCGATAGACATGCAACGGGATGGAAATCAATCGGTATTGTTTCTATAAAAAAAAGATTAAGTGTAACACTTGTATAAATTTGCGTGTATAACATCAATCACTCAGAAAACGCTGATGAGTTGATGACGACTTATCATAACTGCAAGGTGGCGCCGGACGTGAAGACGGAAGAATGCGCCCCGAGAAAGCGCCGAGTCCTAGGAGGGTCCTTTCATCGTCAGAAGTACCAGACGAGGAAACTGGTTTCCTTTCCGTCGCCGTAATCACGACGCGATTCACGGATGAACAGTGTTTGCCTTCCAGTCTGGCGACTCGCGAGGATATAGAATCCTGCCTGTGTCCTTTAAGCTTTGCCGTCGAGGTAACTCGAAATTTGTCTTCGCCTTCGAGCTTCGTATATAACAATATTTCATCTTGTTCCGGGGGCAAGTAATTTATTTACATTTTGAGAAATTTCAGGCAAAACGAGAATGTTTAAGACAAGAAGTGAAGAGAAACTTCTTAGTACGGCAAGGAAAATAAAAAATTGTTTATTTCAGTTAGTTAAAATTTAATGTTTTGGACCACGTCGACATCTGACAAACATTTTACAAGTAAATTAATAAAACAGATGTTTTTAACCAACAGATGATTGAAATTCTTTTTATCTTCTTTTTATTGAAATATAAATATATCAGCATTAATATTTTTTGACTGAAAGGCAATTAATAATAAAATTTGTGCGATATTTTTAATAACCAAAATACATTTAAATTTGATTGCACGTTTTCAGGATCGTCAACTTTCGAAATTTAAATTATATCGAGTTGCGAACGTAATTTTACGCACTGTCGAAATTAAGCGAAAGGAGTTCTGTGCGTTTATCGTTTATTTAATTAGAACTTTTTAAACGAGCTTGCCAACAAGAATAACTTCAACGCGTGAGGTCAATTTTGCGAATTTCGATTTATTTGCCGTAAATGGGCAGACTATTAGTTCGTGTTTTTGAAAATACAGCAGAATTGGCGGCGTTTGGAACCTTCATAAATATTAAATAAAATCCGACTCCGGCAAAAATTTATTAGAGCCTCCAGCAAGATCATTTTGAAAACATTTTTTCTCATATTAAATCTTTTTTTTTTTATTTCTTAATATCTTTATATTTATCTCAATTTAGGAAAAGAAGAAAATATACGAAATATCGTTTAGATACTAAATATTGCGTTTAAAGCGCTGAGAAGTATTTCGGAAATTAAATAATTAGAAGACGCATTCATGTAATCACGTTTCATGTAATCGCCATTTCCTTAAAGAATCACCTTAAAGGACTTCCTTAAAAGACTTCGCATGAGGTTAAATAAATAACGTCGTTAAATCGAGTTAAATTACACGGGAAAATGCAGGGTACTTTCTTGAGGGGAAACCTTTTAAAAATAATTATTTCACTTTGTACATTAGATAGATTAAAAACGGATAATTTTATACTTTTTAAAGAGAATGATTTTTTTGAGATTGTCCTTTTCACAGGACAATCCTTCTTTTCACAAAAATTTTTCATAGACCACTCTAGGCGCTTCATGCATATTTATTCGCATCGATTAAAATCTGGCGGAAGAAAAATAAAAATCCCGACACATTCGAAACAATTCCTTTTTTGCAAAAAAGAATTTAAACTAGGCAGTCCCCGAGTCTTTTTTTCTTTTTAGTTTTTACCTCAACGCCGTGCTTTCAGAGATTCACTTTTTTTTCGCAGATAAAAATTTATCATCGCAATCTGTCGCTTCCTTCTTCGTGTGTATTTATTTTCGTCGAATTGACGAACGAGCGGTTAAACGCGGGAACAAGAAAAACACTAGCAAAGTTTAACGATCTTGCTCGCGGGCGATATTGCATTCGCTGGTTTGCAGCTCGTCTGAGTTAAACGCATTCCACTTTTTCCCATCGATCCCTTTTTACTTCTTATTTATTCCTTTTCGCCCGCACGCGCGCGCGCGCTCGCGCTAATTATAACCGCGGCCACGAGCTTGCTTGGTAACGATCTCGCTTTCTTTTTTTTTTGTGAAAACGCGACGGAAAGCTTTTCCGGATTTTCCTCGAGAATCCGCGGAGAGACACGAGATATACATTTTTCGAAATGTATTTCACACAGGAGGAAATTATGCGAACGGGAGTTATCTTTACGTAGAGATAATTCTCGATTGTTTCAATGACTTTTCCGCGCGACTTTTAATATTTTCGGTGCGGATGGACGGCTAGCTGCAGGAACAAAATTCCGCTCTGATAAATCGGTCGAATTAAATTTCGCAAGGAAATCATACGCGCGGAATTTCATCGTATAAAGGCTTAGCGTCCCCGAGATCGGTCGTGAATATTAATCGGCTTTTCCTCTCGCCGAGTCGGCGAGAGGAAACGCGCGGTGAAACATTCGCGCCGCTCCGCGCGCCGCGCCGCGCCGGGGAAAATCTCGCGAGGAAGGCAGCCGCCCATCCTATTAACTTCCCTCGCATTCACAACGTGCTACTACGATGCTTTCCGGTAAATGTAATCACACGTCGATGCATTAATCAGCCGCGCGGCGAAACTCATGGTAACTTCATCCGTTGGATATGCACGTCAGTTGGAAGTTGCGAGGCCGGCGACGGTGGGACGGCAGTGTTTCTTGGTTAAATTGAAAATGTCCCTTCAGGGGGACTATCGGAAATTATTAATGCTTATTTATTTTTAATTTAGATATTTTAATGATCTACATTTTTTAATCTCGTAGCTCCTGGAAATGTTTGTTTCGGAAGATCAGACGTTATTCACGATGAAACAAGGATAATGCGCAAATAGCCAACCTTGATCTTGTTTATTCGTTCTTTTTAGAGTATGTCTTGGGAGAAAAATATTTTGCAAACGTGGAGTTCATAAATTTTCATGTTGCAAGATCGATCAGGAAAGAGTGTATGTAATGGAAAGATGGCGAAGAGAGAGAGCGAGCGAGAGAAAGAGAGAGAGAGAGAGAGAAAGAGAGAGGCTAACATTAAGTATACACGAGAAAATGAGGGCCAAAGCCACATTCGAATCGATCTCCTTCGAATCCACCCATCCTGCCATTCCACTTCCCTCCTCCCACCACGTAAACCACCCTCCTTTTCTCGACCGTAAAACTCCCGCGAAGAGTTACGACTCTCCGACGCTCGCAGCACAATCTTGCATATATGGACAGGCGCACATATACATTCATTTACGTACTTACACATATAGAAACACAAAAACACACATGTACACGTGTATATGTATACATACACCGACACACACAGACACACATACACACAGTTGCAGGTACACATGATGTTCCGAACGATTGAGCAATACGATTTGTATTACCGTGTATAACGTAATGTATTCGATTCTGCACATGTCGTATGTACTTTGGATGTAGCGAAGGATTTTTCACGACTGATATGAGATTAAAGGAATAAAGATAGCTTTTGTATTAAATGTCTGGTTCTGTTTTTATACGCGCATTTGCATACACAGCATTCCCGTTCCCATTTCCGCTACTGTCTTCGTGGAAGGATTACGCAAACGTTCCTTCGTGAACAATCCCGATCAAGTGTGTGTCACGGTGATACGAAATTACGCGCGAAAAGTATTTTTAACATTTTTACATTTTTCATTACAAATCTCGGATTTATTATTTCCATGAATAAAAATTATCATATGAGAGAGATCTCGTTAATAATATAGGTATATTACCAGTATTATTAATAATTAGATCCATTCAACTTTAAGAAAATTATTTTATAATTAAGAAGTAAATTGTTTGTCAGTTATAGTGATTGCTTGTATAATTTATTAAATTTTGATGTTCGATTCTTACAATTTTACATGTATTGTATGTGCGTATACATGTGTTAAAAATTTGACATTTTTTAATCCATAAATTACTCTGCGCTGTCATTCCTAAAACTATTTTTAATTCAATTTTGTCATATCACATTTTTCTGAAAATGCCACTGCAAAAATGAATCTGTCAGCCGTTTGTATCCGTCTACGCTATTCGTACAATCCTGAATGTAATATAACGATGTCCGATTAAATAGCAAGACAAAACGAGCACATTTAAATGGTCGCGATAAGGTTACTCGTATGCTCGCGAAGGAAATCGTCCGAGAGAAGTGCGGCAAAATAAAAGAATTTAGGAAAGAAATGTGCGCGACTCGAAAACACGCGCATAATTCGAGATATTTTTGCTGTTTCAACTTCGCGTTCTATGATTTCATGATTTCCATCTAACCCATTGCCGTTTAAGAACGTCAGACTTTTCTGGTTACACGCCAAGGAGAAAGAGGACTTTTGTCTGTAGACATTACAAAGAAAAACTACAAAGTATCTTATATCCGGCATCTCTCCTCGGGAGAGATCTCCGAGGAAACTTAAAAAGTTTTCCCTTCCTCTATCTATAGATCGCAGGTAAATCTAGTATACAGGGTGTTCCATATAGATAAGATATCTTGCGCGGCGCTATCGTATTTCTTGTGAAAAAATAAACACCTTCTTCTCTCTCGCCAGGCCCTTCCGGAAATGCATCGTTCTCGAGATATATTTCATATTTTAATATGCCAATACACAGTGCATTTGATATATTACATTAAAAAGTGAGATATTTCAAAAACGATGCATTTTCCTGTAAAATTTTACCATGGGAAAATGATGCTTATTTTTTTTGTAAGATATATGAAATATATATCAATTTGTATTCAACCGGAACGTTGCAAAAAGGGATTGATGTGCGAAATTAACAATACTTTATTGCACGTATAGGTGGAGGGAAACGATTTCGAAAGTGAGATAATGAGAAATTATTGAAACCCAGAGTGACGCGCCTCGTATTGCGCGCGCGGCGCAATTATTTGTCGCTCGCGACGACACTAATCGATGACACGGACCCGCCTCGCGTAATTCTCTCGCGAGATGAATCCGACGTTTTATTAATGTCGCGGGTAGAGTTTTAATTATGAACGCGCGGACGTATACCGAATGCATGCAGTATCATGCTTAATACGTATTGAAAGAGATGTTATCGTATAATGTTAGCATATACCATATATATGTGTAATACTCGCGCATCTGCTAATGCAAACTGAAAATTTAATCAACAACTGATAGGCTAAATCGCAACAAATATTTTATAGTGAATATAATCCATTATAACTGTTTTCGCATTCGCAATATGAAAGCATTTATTATTGTGCGCCAGAGGCTTTTAAATATATTTTCAGCCTATATCACAGCATGTACGCATTGCGTTTCCCACGATTTCAAAAAAATATTTTCACCGCAAAAATCAAATTTATAATAGAAATAAAATTCAGAGCGGGGTGTAATAATAAAATTTACAGTACGAAAATGAAATCTACAGCTGTGTGTCGCCCGTTAGGAAAATGTCGTGAGATTCGCATGGCAAAACTCTATCATAATCAATGTTCCTTCGCGTCGGTGCATCTCAGAAGTTACAATATTGAAATCTCTCGCAGTGTCCATTGCTCAACGAAAATTTTATATAATTAAGTCGAATCGACCGTCCTCGTTCTCGTATAATAGAGACATTTGTCGCTCGCAGTTCTACGAAGCTACGTGTGCGCTTTGTACTCAGTAAATTTATATAT